CATTAAGACAACTGACCATGTAGACCAACCTGAACTCATAACCCCGAACGAATTGAATCTGTCATTAGAAAGCCCAAGTCTGACATTTCTGCATTCATGAGCGAAATTGAGAAAAGTCTTATCAATATGCTTCCAAGCCTCTGCATCACCTGGATGTCTCAGCTTACCATCTTCTATACGACCTTTTTTGTGCCACCTCATGTTCTTAGCGGTGTCTTTGTTCATATACAGACGTTGCAATCTAAAAACTAATAGGAAATGGCGAAGCACCTTAGCTGGAATTATGCTCTGCATGTACATTGACTCTGTTGTCTGCCTTGTTGAAGAGCGGGTGTGTTGTTTCCATCGAGAAACTCCACATGTTGGACATTCCTGAAGGTCTTTATTATCCTTGTAGTAGAGAATACAATCATTGGGACACACATCAATCTTATTGTAATCAAGCCCCAAATCGGAAACTATTTGCTTTGCCGCATAAGTTGTTTTAGGAATGCTACGCTCTCATTTTGGAAATACCTTCCGCAGCAAATCAAGAAGCATTTCAAAATAAGTATTTGCCATTCCACTGAAGCTCTTAATATGTGAGAGCTCCAACATAAATGAAAATCTAAGAGTACTCGGTGCAACCCTCATACAGATCCTTTTCACTATCCTCTAGTAGTTTCATTATACGATCCAAGTCCTCAGGAACATGAGCATCTTGGACATCATCTATGATATCATCTTCATTGTCATTGTTAATATTGTATTCGGTATGGTCAGGTCCAATATCAGTTTGTAAATTTTCTGTATCATCTATCCTGAAACTATGACTGGTATCGACATGCACATCCGGTACTTCATCTTTAGTACGGCCTTCCCCGTGATAGGACCAATATTTATATTCCTCGCAAAACCCAGAGTTTGCTAAGTGACTTCGTATTTCATCTCTATTTTTCAGCTTCATATTCTTACACCTATAATAGGTGCAGTACATTGCACCGCTACTTAAATTTTTTGGGTTCATTTCGGCATACTTCATGAAGGCTTCACATCCATCCCTATAACGTCGATCGTGAAACCGTTCACTCCTAGGGATATCTATCCATGACTTGTCAAGAATTTTCCTCATCTGTGGGTAATATATAATTAGAAACTCTATTTAAGAATAGATAGCATACCCATAAATTTTAAACTATCCAAAACATACGTTATTGCATTTAAGTTAGGCTCATTGAGGTATGTTTGAAACTTATTAAGGTATGGAGATTAATTGGCACACTCTAACGGCTGTCATAGGAAAGCTTCTATCCCATTAAGAATATAATAGTGTTTACATCCAACTTCATATACTTTGTATATTTTCATTTCTTAAAAATTTCGGCAGCACCTACCCGTTGTTCTCTCTGTACACTGTACGGATGTTATTATGCGTACTGATAATATATCAAAACACAGAACAACATACGCTTATTGTACACGGAGAACAACAGGTAGGGACTGCCAAAATTTTTAAGAAATGAAAACATACAAAGTATATAAAGTTGGATGTATGCACTACTATATTCTTAACCCGTCTGAGAAGGATAGATCCAATAATTATAAATTTCTATACCAATTCTTTTCTATTATAATATAAAGGGAACGATCAATTTCGAGTAGAAAAATTTATCTCTTACCCAAATTTGACTCGTTTATCTTATATTATGACCTCAAAGAATTGACTGTAATTATCGGACGGGAGTCTAGGGATAACGTTATATTTTTTTCACCTAAATTGGATATATAACACATTATTATATAATATTGCGTTATATATCACTATATTTTTTGCAAACTTTTTCTTCCATAACTCACACATTTTCAAATCACAAACCTATATAATCACATTTGTACAATTCAAATCACAATCCGTATGACAAAAATGAGAACTTTATAATATATCAAACCAAAATATGAAGAGAGATAGGAGAGCCCATGTGTAAGATAAGACCAATGAGTCATCCAACAATTTCAGACCAATGGATGTGGACTATGCCTTAAAGTACAAGAAAAAGAGCCCTCTCTCTCTCCACGCGCATACATACAAACATGCATGTCATTTTCTAGGGAAATGCAAGTGTAGGAGAGGCCGCATTTTTATCTGCAATTTGATGCGCCACGTCCATTTCAGGGGGTCCCTAGAAACACTATCATGTGGAGTACCAAAGCATTGTGCATATGAATATACAAATGCGAACATAATCACACAACAATATTAGCACATTAAAGTTACAAATTAGCTGATAAGAAGGACACAAAGCATCACAAATTAGCTGTTCTTATTCAAACAATAAGTGAACGATTTCAGAACGAAAATGGGCTTGATGATGGCGAAACCATCAGTCCAACTCGTGGGTGCTAACTTACGACTAACGAACCATGCTTATTTGTCCTAAGTAATATTTAATTCAATTTGAATATTGGCTAAAAGAGCAAAATTTTACAACATCTTTGAAGGAAGCTTGTTTCCATTGATATATATGTCTGATGATAATCAAGTGTTTGATTGACAAAAAAAGATTTTACACAACATCGATCTAAATGAGCCCCCCCTAATTGTATTGCAAACATTAGTATGCAATTCATAATTCAAATCCCCAATCTACAAATTTTCAGTTGCTAGAACCTGAACATTATAAAACTAGGGTTTGAGAAAACTAGTGATGTCAATATCTAATCGGGGATCACAAAACTCAAAATCAATCATGAAATCAAGCTCGATCGAAAGCTAACCTCAAAGAGATGGAGTTTTCGACTGAAGCCCTTTTGATTTTGAGGGGGGGGGCGACGACGGGACGGCGATCTCGAATGAGAGAGAGAGGCGACGATGGGAAGAGAATTTGGGAATTTAGGGAATTTAGGGGAAACAGCGGGTGTATTTAGGGCTAGATCTGGGGCCTTTTTTTTTTAATAAAAATTGAACCGCAAATCCTAGACGAAAATTTTCGTCTAGGATACTCGGTTCATTTCAAAAAAAATAAACAAATAAATAAATCCGTCTACAATATTATTCTAGACGGAAATTTCCGTCTAGAATATTATATTGTAGACGGAAAATCCTCGACGGAATTTTTCGGTCGTCGAGGATTTTCCGGTCTAGGATGTTGTATCTTAGACGGAAAATTTTTCGTCTAGGATATTCCGTCTAGGATACTTATTTTTCTACTAGTGAATACACACAAAAATGTACATAGAAAATAACAATGGCCCAGCAAGGAATGTCATTTCTAATACACTGTATGATATGACTTCTTGGTGGAAGTATATGTGTCATAGCAACAAAGTTATCTGTGCAATGCAAAGTGGAGCTTATATTCCCGAAATATATAATCTATTTTTATATACAAATCGATATTGTTGATAGGCATACCTATGGTGATCTCAGAGCTTAAAATGTTGTGGATGTCATGATATAACTAAAACATATTAACGTTTCTATTGAATGCTGCGTATTATTTCTGCAAGAATAAAACTTTTCTCATTAGAAAAGTTCGATGATTGGTTTCGGCATGACATCCCCTGGTCAATAGGAATTACTTTTTGTAGTTATCAACCCTTGCAACGCGTAGGAGGGTAGATGGCAGAGAGATATACGGAGATAACCAATCTGATGACATTCCATCTTTCTCTTTTTCATTTAGAGGATATGAATAGGTTGTTGGGGGTTTGATACCATGATCCAACTGTGATTTATAACTGCCAAAAAAAAAAAAAAACGTATTGTGGTCAAATATCTGTGTTGAAAAACCAAGCTGCCTATGCAGGCAGAGATTTTTTCTGGGTGTGATGGCCTTTTATTATTCTTCTACCGTTTCTTAGCATATTGTCAACCTCTAAAAGTAATAAAATGATGTAACATTTCCACACTAATGAAACTATATAAGTTTGATTTTGTTTTACTTTGATCTGGGTAGAATATTGATGTCGGATTCATTATGTCCCAAATCAGTATGTGGATATTCTGTCTGGCAGGATCTCTAGCTGCCAAGATAACCTTAGAAAATACAGTGTTCACCTAGGCACTTGTGTTAAGTGAAGTTGTTTACCTTGATTAAAGTAGTATACGGTTATTTGTTTCAACTTACTATTACACTACAACTTATATTGCAAGAGATTAGTTGGTTGGCATATTTAAAAGCAGAACGTGTAGCTGTCATCTATGATGTCTTGTCTTATTTGATTTTCAAGGATTATGGGGGTGTGATATATCTGTTGCAATAGACATGTGGTATTGTGTTCAACGTGACAAAGAATTACTCATGCTGGCTTTTATCCTCACTAACAAATCATTGCACAAATTACAAACATATCCATGCACGAGAGACAATGTCCAAATTCTTTTGGCAATAACAAATACCTTTGCAATATCAGAAAGAATCTTATGGTGATAACACCCAGTCTCTAAGATATACATCAATATTATATATTCCCTTTTGCTGTTACTGCCAGAAATCAGGGCGCCTGAAACAGGAGTTCAATTTAATGCAAAGAAGGCCTCTTTAGGCATGTGAAATTTCTTTTTTGTTTGAGTTTCAAATTTTGTTTGTGATTGGTTCTCCTTCATAGGCTTTATCTTTTCTATTTCAAGTACAGTTTCAGTAGAATTTGAATTGAAATTTTAAATTATTCAAAAATAAAAAAAGAGAACTTTCTGGAGTTATGAATGAGCGCTTCTTGTTTGCTTTTCTATTCATTTACTTTCATTTTGTAAAACAAAATAATTTATTATATGCAAAATGATGATTAAAATCCCTACCTGGTGTTTTAATTATCAGAGTGTTTTCACTCACTTTGTAACATGATGAAAGGGTGACTTTTATATTAGTATAGACTTCAACCCCACTGGAGAAACATTCCCTTTTCCTTTAGCCTGAAGGCTTAATTCTAAAAAATATATATGAGTCTGTGTTTATGCAACTAAAAAGATGCTTATTTGGGAATATATTGCTTATGTTTTTTGTTTTTCCTTCTTTGTTTAGACGCTAAATGAGAAGCCTGAAGAACGTCGACAAGACCTTACTTTCATCCCTCTCGCACCAGCATGTGTGGTAGGTTCTGGCCACGGACTCCAATTGTTTGGAAAGTCATTTCCTATATTTATCTAAGGATCTCATAGTTTTTTTCAAACATTGTGCAGGTCATCCGAGTATTGACTCCGATATATTCAAACCTTCTTCCTTTTGGTCCCCTCACATGGAGATTGCTTTGGATCCTCATTTGGTCAAGCTTGACCTACATCATGCTCACTATATGCAAGATACTAGTTGGTGTCAGCCTTCGCGGCCTTGCATCTTGGTATCTTGCCCAACGACAGAAAAAGAAACAACACATTGATTGAGGCCAAAGCTTTGCTTTTTCTTTACTTTGCGTTCAAGGGAGAATCTTCTCAAGAGATCTTTGTATATCTACTTCTTGGCGATTTTTACTATGGAGCTCCTGTACCATTGCCTGTGACCTTGGTGTGTGCAATCTTTTCGCAACGAGAAGATTCTAGCTGCTAGTAACTCACCTGCTTTTGTTCATTGGATATGCATCCACTTTGCTCCTGAAGCAGAGTTCCGTACATGCATTCCACAGGGACATAATGAGAACAGGTGATATTTCCTTGCATTCTTAGAAGCTGCAATATCATAGATTCTATTGTGCCTACGGGATTGGACTGCTCCCAGTTTTGCGTATTATATGTGATATAATAATGTGGATTTGGAATAGAGGAAAGACTTGCGGACGAGTTGTCTAAGTGTACAGATCCAGATATACCACACAATCCTACTTTAGATTACAAATATGTATAATTCATAGAGGCATAGAGATGTCTACTTCCCGCGTTGAGTAAAATCCCAAGTGTTCTTGGTTTTCAACAATGATGTAGATTCTGGAATGAAAAGAAACAATTTTGGTGGTTATTATTCAGTTGAAAGTTGGACGAGGTACAAGGACTTCCCCAGAAACACACTCAAGTTTTTTCTTATTTTCCACGAACAATAGAGTGGTTCATGCTTACTGACTAGTGGGTACAAAAATCTCAAGTACAGAACATGAGGAGTTCGCATCCCAAAGCAACTCTCCACTTGGTTTGCAGACTAGCGGATGGGCCATGGTCGTTGGATTGTTTCTCTTTGTTTGCACTTTCAATTGATGAAAAAAATCACCTTCAGTTTACCTTAAAATAGAAATGGGTGCAATATGCTTTTATATGGTAAATGTTAGTATTTTGGAATGGATTGTAATTGTATAGTAAAGAACTGGAATGTTGTAATTTTAAGTTGTAATCAAAAGCCGTGATCTCTCCACTTACCTTTTTGTTAATGGAAAGGCTTCCTCCCAAGGGAGTCTTACGATCACTCTTTCAGGTTTTTGTGTCAACAATACAAGGCTGAGAATGAGCACAGGAAAAGGATCTTCTAGCAGTTTTTTTGGCCATGCAAAGTCTTGACTTATAGATAAACAAATATCTCATTGATAGCAAGTGGTATCAATGAACAAACCAAGAACTTTCAAATTTCACAAAAAAGACTAAAATGAAATGAAATGAAATAAAGAAAGGGACAATTTTGAGAAGCCATATAATATTTGAGAAGTGAGGCTAAGATATGTGTGGCTCCAACTTTTGGCCGCTCATCATCCTCTCATCTCATATCATGCCCTTATGATGCACCCCAGACTGTAACCATACAAATGAAAACACCAAATGCAAGTATATACATAAGCTCCCTCTGCCAACTCCCTCTGATCTTGGCTGCTGACTATCTAAAATGGCAAGCCATGCAGCTCTTGCTTCTTCCAGGATCCCCTCCTCCTCCATCAAGCTCCACCAACCCAAGACCCCTACCAGAGTTCAGAGGCTCGAGTTCTCCGAGTTCTCTGGACTCCGAAGCGTTTCCTTGGCGTCGAATGCGAGAGAATCCTCCTTCTCTGATGTTGTGACTGCTCAATTATCTACCAAGGTAAGATCTTGAACTGACAGTGACAGACATCAAGATGTTAATTATGCATTTACTGAAATCAATATGGTGGTAGGCAAATAGAGAACTTGAAATCGAGTGAAGGTCGCTCCCCAGTGGAGAGGTGTTACTATGTACTTAATATATGTGTTATATGATGCATCAGGTTGCAGCAGCCAAACCCATTAGAGGTGAGACCGTTGCGAAGCTGAAGGTAGCAATCAATGGATTTGGTCGCATTGGACGAAACTTCCTCAGATGTTGGCATGGAAGGAAGGACTCCCCTCTCGACGTCGTCGTTGTCAATGACAGCGGAGGTGTCAAGAATGTAAGTTCACAAACTTAACATTTTGCATTTATTTATATCGAGTTAATTTCATATATTCTGCAGTCGCTTATAACTTCCAAACTATTTTATTAGCAATTACATTCTCTGAACTCCAAATGAGGATGTCACATGAGTGAGAATCACGTGATAATGAAGTAATTTTTATTCTCAGTTTTAATAAAAAAACTAATTATACTCTAAATTGAGGGGCAAAAAAGTGATGCATGTCATTTGATGTTCAATTGGCCAATTCATACATGCTCTTTCACTATAATAACATATATTCGATTGTTCTGTAGGCATCTCACCTTCTGAAATATGACTCGATGCTTGGCACGTTCAAAGCAGACGTGAAGATCGTTGACAATGAGACGATCAGCGTTGACGGAAAACACATCAAGGTTGTGGCAAACCGTGATCCGTTGAAGCTTCCATGGGCTGAAATGGGGATCGACATTGTTATTGAGGTATTTGATCTTTACATCAGTAAATGCGTTCTTACACTATAGATAAAAATTGAAATGTAACGTTGTTAACTTGTTCGATGAAGGGGACCGGAGTGTTTGTGGATGGTCCAGGTGCAGGAAAGCACATCCAAGCCGGAGCCAAGAAGGTTATCATCACAGCTCCGGCCAAGGGTGCCGATATTCCAACGTATGTTGTGGGAGTAAACGAAGGGGATTACTCCGACGAAGTCGCAAACATCATAAGGTTTGGATTTCTCTTCATTTTTCTTCAATAGAGCAATGAGCAAAACTGACAAGGTTAATTGCACATTGTGTAGAATGGCGTCTTTGAATTTATTACCCGTGTAGTTTCATTTCAACAGATACATTTCACCTTATGCTTTTACCCCAAGTGAAATTTGTATAGTGGTGAAATAGGGGAGAAGCGAAAAATAAGAAACTTGTTCACCTAGTTTGGGAAGTTTTTTGAGAGTTTCGCTGTTCCCCCCTCATTCCCCTAAATTCCCTTCCGATCAATAGAAACTTCGTTCACCCCAAAATTGCGACGGAAGAGGGGAAGGAAATTCTCTTACTTTCTCATCTCTTTTCTCCCCTATCTTTCCTTATCTTTCCCTTCCACTATGAAATAGCAAACATGCATGCTGTCAGGGATGAAAGGAAAAGAAAAAAAAAACTACAGGGGCGATAAGTTAAAAAATGTCATAGTATAGGGGATTTGTTTATGCAAATAGGAAGGTTTTGGTGGTGTTTTATAGCAAGTTTGAAATATGTCAAACGCCAAACTTCACAAACCATGTTTTTGGTGTGTTTTTGTAGCAATGCATCGTGCACAACAAACTGTCTGGCTCCCTTTGTGAAAGTGTTGGATGAAGAGTTTGGTTAGTATTTTAAATTTTTTTTTTTTTTTGTTTCGTTTGAAATTTGGGAGAAAAATAAGAATTATTTTTTAGTTTTCTAGTCATTTAAACTGTGTTGTGTGTATGTGTCTGTGTAGGGATTGTGAAGGGAACCATGACTACTACTCATTCTTACACAGGAGATCAGGTATTGCAATGTTATTACAGAAACTAATACGTATTGATTTAAGTGTTCATGCTGATAACTACCGAATTAGGCCCAGAAAAGAATGTTTAATACTACTCTTATTCAAATATAATTATTTATATATTACTAATTCATGTACAGAAATGTATTTAAACATAGTTATTTGTATAAACATGCAATATATATTACAGTTTGTAACTAGAAAATTATGGGAAAGAATATTTGATACTACTCTTATTTATTTGTGAATATGATCATCAATAAACCTGTTAGTTTTGTAATGAACTTTTGTTCTTCAGTCTTAATAGATAGATAATTTTAAATTAATTATAAAAGTTTAAATTTTTTGCATTACTCAAAACCATTTTTGTGTAGTATTTCTCCTTTCAACTCCCAAACCAGACGTGTTTTCTACTCAAATACAAATTAATGTCTAGACCATCCAGACGTTGAAGAACATTACAATGTGTGGAAATGACCTTTTCTCTGAATTGCTATTGAAGTTATGAATAATCAAGGACGCTACACTTTTTGTTTTTTAAAGTACAAAAGTACAAAGTTTGAGAAATACTACACAAAAATGGTTTTGAGTAATGTAGGGATTGTGAATGAGTAGTAGTCATGGTTTGTGAAGTTTAAAATGGTTTTGAGTAATGTAGGGATTGAGAAATACTACACAAAAATGGTTTTGAGTAACTAGACTACAAATCTCAAACTTTGTACTTTTGTACTTTAAAAAACAAAAAGTGTAGCGTCCTTGATTATTCATAACTTCAATAGCAATTCAGAGAAAAGGTCATTTCCACACATTGTAATGTTCTTCAACGTCTGGATGGTCTAGTTATCATTACTCTTTAAATAAATAATGTATGACCGGAGGAGGTTGTAGTTTACCCTTTGTGAAATTTACATGTTAAAAGACTCTATACCTTAACAGAGACTGTTGGACGCATCACACCGTGACTTGAGGCGAGCGAGAGCAGCAGCCCTCAACATAGTCCCCACCAGCACCGGCGCAGCCAAGGCCGTCTCCCTCGTCCTCCCGCAACTAAAGGGCAAGCTCAACGGCATCGCCCTCCGAGTCCCGACCCCCAACGTCTCCATCGTCGACCTCGTCATCAACGTCGCCAAGAAAGGCATCACCGCCGAGGACGTCAATGCAGCCTTCAGAAAGGCGGCCGATGGCCCGCTGAAGGGGATATTGGCCGTTTGTGACGTGCCGCTGGTGTCGGTGGATTTCAGGTGCACTGATGTTTCGTCGACGATCGACTCGTCGTTGACGATGGTGATGGGGGATGATATGGTGAAGGTGGTGGCTTGGTATGCGTCGACGATCGACTCGTCGTTGACGATGGTGATGGGGGATGATATGGTGAAGGTGGTGGCTTGGTATGATAATGAGTGGGGTTACAGGTGAGACATGATCTGGTTTTCCCTTCTATGATATAATTAGCGGTACTTATCATCCCTCAACTTATTTATTATTAGTACTTATCATCGAGTTATATGCAATTAACCGTTCTAGAAATGATAAGTGCTTCTAAAATAGTTGAGTGGTGATAAATGCTACCGAGTGTACGGATGAAAGAATTATATGTCGTTTACACGTGTCTTAATATAGGAGATGTTAGCGCAGAGTACTAATATATATAGATAGTAGAGAGTACAAAATAATACTAAAGGATTTAACATGATTCAGTCAGTCAATAACGAATAAAATATATCAGAATAAGATTAAAATGCCTTCAATGTTTACTTAATTTCCTCTTAATTTCAGCCAAAGAGTGGTTGATTTGGCACATTTGGTGGCAAACAAATGGCCCGGTGCTGCTGCATCAGGAAGCGGAGACCCGCTTGAAGACTTCTGCAAAACAAACCCAGAGACCGAGGAATGCAAAGTTTATGAAGCATAAATTTAATTCTATTTATCACTTCATATATATATGTGTAGATCATATCTTACATGTTTTGAATTATTCGAGCGTTCATCAAAAGGAGACGGTCATTTTGAATTGAAAGGTGAAGGGGAAAATAATGTTTGTAAACAATGAGGTTGTTTGAAAATATGCCATTTGATGAGCTTACTAAGCTTGGTTTTGTACTGGTATAATAAATCAAACTCTAGAAATGTAATATTGAATCCGTCCCTTTCAACTATTTGGGTGTAGAGGTGGGAACTAGTCAGCTTATTATCAAATGGTTGGTTATTAGTTCGTCTATATTCTTGGGGGAGTGGGGGGACGAATATTCGATTTGACGGTTCATTTAACACTAAATAAATACCTTTTAGCTTTTTTTTTTATAAGCCAATAAAATTTAATCAAATGTATATTCGATAATCAAATATTCGTTTAGACTTTTATCCATTACAATTTATATTATTACATGCATGATAAAATATTCTTGACACATCTATATCGTGCAACTCAAGTTTACACAAACTTTGGTAAAAATAAAGATCCCTACCACAAATTTTAAAACCACATCTCGTTTAACTAAATAAGAAATATTTTAATTGGATATATAGGTTATGTCCATAAAACTATAAATTATTAATCAAATAAGTATGTTGTAATATGTCCTAAATATTCGCTAATGTTTGGGAAGTATATTCATTCGAATCCGAAGAAATTCAAATAATACTATCCAAATTCGTATTTGTAAAAAAAAAAATTGAACACTGAGGTATTAAATTCTATTCCAAAACCTTTTTTTAAGCTCATTCACTTCCACAGCCATCCTGTTGCGCCTTGAGAAACCAAAACAATCGCCGAGAAAGATAAAGAACCAACCAAAATCAACAGCACAAACAATCAAACACCAGATTTACGTGGTTCGGCGAGATGCCTACGTCCACGGGGCAAGGAGGGGGGAGTTTTTACTATTAGAAATCAAGAGGAATAAACTAGGGTTACAAATATCTCATAAACCCTCAACAATCAACTCTCAATCTCTCCAATTGCTCCTAGAATAGAAGCCCAAAGTCATCCTCGTCCGGATCCACCTCCCCTCGCAAGTCCAAGAAGTTCTCCTCCAGGAGAAAGGTACGTTGGTACGAAGAAGTTGAAGCTACCAACGACGGTCTCACCCCGATTGATGCCAAAGCTGCGTCGGGTGAGGCTCCACCAACCTCCAACCAGATCAAGCTGGTTCCAACCAATTCCTCCGTCACCAAAGGAGCGGTGACTCTCTCAAAGAGAGCCCGCCAAAGGCAACGCCAATGCTTGGCCAAAGAATTCGCCAAAGCGATGGAGTCCACCGACGGAATCCGCTACAACGCGGATCTGAAGAACAGGAGAGGCAAACAGCCTCAACAAACAATGAATGGCAGCTCCTCCAAGCCGCCAACGAACGAATGGGTCCGTGTCAAACGGAACCGTTCGACACTGGAGGAGCGCCGCATTCGCAAGCGCCGCGCACTGTCAGCGCAGGCACGGGCTCGAGTCCAAGAAGCCCGTAGAAGACTGCAGAAGGAAGTGGCCAAGAAGCTGCCACCAACCCGCCAAGTATGGAGGCCGAAGTCTGAAGCGGCGATTCAGGCTAAGGCACAATCGTTGCAGCCTTCAACGCAAATCCAGCCTCCGACGAACCAAGCGAAGTCGCCGGTAATTCCCATAGCTACTCCGAGAGATCCCGCAGAATCATCCGGGAGAAGAAGATCAGTTTTGGAGCGCCTCGGTCCAATTCCCGATGAAAGAAGCAAAGCTCCAGTTCAAGAACGTTTGGGCCCGATGAAGAAGCCCCGAACGACTCAACATGCTGGGGGTCGCCGTCACCTCCAACATGACAACGAGTTCATGGTAGCTGCGTGTACTAATTTGCGAATTGAAGTCCAGGAGCCCGCTGAGAAATCACGCCCAAAAAGGCATGTTTCGAGGCGCGTGACTCTTGAAGGCCCTGAAAAGGCAGTCCGCCCTCAGAAGGAAACGTCGTTGTCTGAGGATGATGACGTTATACCTGAGAAGTCGTGCCGACACACGATAGGTTACTCCGACTGTCAAGCTGACGAGTTGTACTATCGTGATGGGAGTACGAGAAAAACCAGGAAGAAGAGTCCTCAAGGACTAGAGACTCAATGCCCCTGTTCCAAACTCATTCGGGCAGTATTGTCTGAGTGCAACTTCATCAAGGCGGTCCCTGAAAGAGTTTCGGTTTTCGAAAGGCTCAGTGCCGAAACGCCAAAACCAAGGCCTAGGCGTTTCCGACGAAGAAGAAGAGTAGTCGAAGATGGAGAATTTCCGAGGGTCACCATGAATATGACCAGCAAAGGGACGTCGACACAGGAGAATCCCGAGTCAATTCCGGAAGTACCCCAGCATGTAACCCGTCTGCAGTCCGGAGCCATCAGACGAGGAACTTATGGTAGGATTCGGATAAGACTTCCTTCAGAAGATGAAGAATCGGATGCCTGCTCTGCAGTCGCATCGGATAATACAGTATCCAGCGAGGGACAACCCCGCGAGTCGCTGATGATAAGCACCGAACAAGTGGCCAAGATGCTCGAAGAAGCCATGGCTAAACAGCAGGAGAGCTTCAAGCACGAAATGCAGATGGCCATGCAGAGTATGAGAGAAATGCATGACCAGCAAATCCAAGCGCTGACAAACCAGCAAGGTGAGCCAAATCGTCGTAACCAGATTGATCAAAACCTGAAGATTAAAAATCTTGAGAGCAAAATCAATACGTTGATTTCCGCTCAAGAGATGAAGAAGACGGGCATTCCTTGTCCGTACCCACGAGAATGGGAATCAATCCCCTATCCGGCGAAGTTCAGTCTGATTAACTTCACGCCGTTTGATGGGAAGGGTTCACCCACGCAACATTTGATTTACTTCAAATCGCACCTGGGTGTTATCTCTGGTAATGAGCCTCTGATGGTACAGTCCTTCGTTGGCACTCTTCATGGAGCCGCCTTCGATTGGTATCGTCGCCTCAAGCCAGGAAGCGTGAATAGCTAGGACGACATGGAGACAAAATTCCTCGCTAATTTCTTCGATGACGACACTGAGATATCCATCGGAACGTTGCTCGATGAGAAACAAAAGGATGGGAAATTGGTCGACACCTTCGTCAAAAGGTTCCGGAACAAGGTGATGAACTGTCGGGACCCGATTACTGAGGAGTTTATTCTCCAGACTTGCCACAACAACCTCGCATTGGACGTGTTGGAGGCAATGGGAACGGCACCGTCTAACACTTGGAAAGACTTGAAGGTGCACGGAGAACAAGCCGAACGCTTCCTCCGAAGGAAGAAGGCCGAGAGGAATCTACCGACGGCTAATCCTCTGAACTCGAACTTCGCCTCTCGTGGTAAGGGCAAGGCACCTGCAGCTGCTGTTGGTGCTAATCGAACGTCACAATAGTAATCCCGAAGACAGCAAAAGACTTCAGACCCGAGACTCAAAAAAGAGTATTCCTTCAAGGACGAAGACGTTCCAGCCATCTTCGAATCCCTCCTTGGAAGCAACAAGATCAAGCTACCACCTATCGCAAATCAGGAGGAAGCTGACAATACTGCGGATCCGAAGTACTGTGCATACCACAGGAGGGTCCTTCATCCCACCAAGGATTGCTTCGCTCTCAAGAATAGCATCCAAACCTTGGTTGAAGCCGGCGTCATAACGCTGAGATAAGCCAAATGAGAACGGCAAGACTCCAAAGAGTATACGAGTATAAACTGTTTCTCAATCCTTCAACAGGTGCATGAGGTTAAACTGCTCCTTTCTACACTCCAACAAGTATAAGAGTATAAACTGCTTCTTAATCCTCCAATAGGTGCATGAGGTTAAACTGCTCCCTGCAGACTCCAAAGAGTATACGAGTATAAACTGTTTCTCAATCCTCCAATAGGTGCATGAGGTTAAACTGCTCCTTTCTACACTCTGACAAGTATAAGAGTATAAACTGCTTCTTAATCCTCCAATAGGTGCATGAGGTTAAACTGCTCCCTGCAGACTCCGACAAGTATAAGAGTATAAACTGCTTCTCAATCCTCCGACCGGTATAAGAGGTTAAACTGCTCCCTGATACTCCAATAGGTGTATGAGTCTAAACTGTTTCCTACCGTTGACGGGAAGTTCCTGGAGAATTTTATACGTAATATTCTTAAGGATAACCCGATCATACAACCAGATGCAATGATAAACCCAGTTTCGCGAAGAAGCTGGGGGTGGATGATTCATGTAACGGGAAGTTCCCGAAAGGATGTTACATGTAATTTTCTTAGGGATAACCTGACCATTACAAATCAGATGATAAACACTAAACCCCCTTCGAGTGATTTGTACGAATCAACACTCCTACAGTAACTTGTACTCTCACTCTCTGCTTGGTCAAACCTTCCTACAATTAGGACCACAATCAAAATCCCCTCTCGATTCCTTCAATGAACGAGAGGTCCCAAAATCGAGTGATCACACCTACAGTTAGGATCATCTCACACTCCTGCTTGGTCAAACCTTCCTACGGTTAGGACCAAAACCACAATTCACTCTCGATAAACGAGGAATTCACCTTTAATTCGGTAATCCAACCTTCCGACAGTTAGGATTATCCGAATCTGTCCGATTCTCAGAGTGGAGATCCCACTTCTAGTTTCTTTTGCGCTGGAAATAGAATATAAAATTCTTCCTTTCCAGAATCAAGGAATAGAATATAAAATTCTTCCTTCCTTGTATTCGGATTCGCCTTCACCCTAAAAGAAGAACGGGAAACAGAATATAAAATTCTTCCTTTCCCGCACCGATCTTTTCCAAAATTTATCAATCTAGGATTCATCCTAGGAAGTTTATCTCGAATCCTAAGCAGGGATAAGCCTGCGCCTAACACGCGCTGCCAGTTTAGTCTTTTTCTGTAGAAAAAAACACCAGAGTTCGATTCTGGGGTATTCTATCCTGAAACCTGAGCAAGGATAAGTCTGCGCTTAACCCGCGCTGCCGGTTAGTTCTTAACCATTAAAAAGAACACATGCCCATATATTCAACGTTGTGGCAGGTTGTTATTAATAACACCAAAAAGTCTACGTATTCGAAGTCGTAGCAGCGAGTCTAAGGGAGTTCATTCCGTTAGCACAACGTTACATGCGGAACGGATTTAGACAATCCGCATGCTAGCCCGACTCAAACGGTAGTCGGTAAAGGCTAATCAAATCCGTTGAA